CTGGGGACGTGGACAGGTAGGCACAGGGTGGGCGCAGGGCGGAGCTCAGTGCTCCCAGATAGGCCTTGGCTGGGACCGGAGCCCCTTCCTGTGGGCACGCACCTGAGGACAGGGCCAGCAGGTGGCGCCCCTGTATGGGCTCAGGAGCTGATGCTGGAACGGGATGGTGTCGCTCCTGGGCCGACCAGCAGGCGAGTCCTGAGCACTGGGCCCTGCCCCTCACCCAGCTGTGCCTGCCCAGGCCAGGAGCCGCTGCCCCTCCAGGCCGGCTGAGCCCCTGCGCCGGCCTGAGGGTGACCAGAGCTGGGCGAGCTCCCTCCACCAGGCTTGTCCTGGAGGAGGTGGAGCTGTGTGTGCCAAGGCCTCCGGCATTGGACGGTCCAGCATGCGCCTTCTTGCTTGGGGTTTGGGTGTTGTGCTGGGACTCTTTGGTCACACACTTGCTAGCCTTGGCTTTCCAGCAGGACAAAGGACTCCGGGCTCCCTCTTATTTCCAGGCAAGGCCTAGGCAGAGGGGCTGCCAGACATTGTGGCTTGGGCTGGGAAGGTGGCTCAGTGGTAGAGTGCTTGCTTTGCATGCACAAGGCCCTGGGTTCGATTCCTCAGCACCACATAAGCAAAACAAGCTGGAACTGATGCTGTGGCTCAAGTGGTAGAGCACTAGCCTTGAGCTGAAGAGCTGAGAGACAGTACCTAGGCCCAGAGTTCAGGTTCCACAACAACAAAAAAAAACACAAAAAAGCAAATATTGTGGTTCTACAAGTCAGGCATACGTGACTCACACTTGTAAATCCTTCCTACCCAAAGACTGAAATGAGAGGATCAGTATTCAGAGCCAGCCCTGGAAAGTGATGGCTCACGCCTGTAATCCTAGCTACTCTGACCTGAGATCTGAGGATCCAGGGTTGAACTCAGCCCAGGCAGGAAAGTCTGTGAGACTCTCTCCAGTTAACCACCAAAAGGCCAAAAGTGGAGCTGTGGCTCAAGTGGTAGAGCATCAGCCTGAGCAAAAGAAGCTCAGGTATAGTGCCCAGACCCTGAGTTCCAGACCCAGGACCGGTGCGCGCGCGCACGCACGCACACACACACACACACACACACAGCCCTGACGTTCCGTATTTAATAGAACAGCTTGTGCTGGAGCACAGCAGAGAGCAAAGGCAGACAATCGTGAGCTCTGAGTTCAAACCCCAGTACTGACCAAGAAAAAACACTCAGACGTTAGAAAAAGTGCCACCCCACTGTGGGGGAGGGAATGAACCTGGGAAACAGGCATCTTGAGTAGTTAGTAGCTTTTGTGCATGTGTGCAATTCTAGAGACCAAAACCCAGGGCCTTGATCCAGCAGAAGTAGGAGTTTCCATGAGCTGCCCTGCTTGGGGGGGGGAGGGGGGTGCGGCACTGGGTGGGAAGATGCACATGCACTGAGCAGTCCAGCACCGAGTGCCCCCCCCCACCTTGCTGAAGGGAGCCTGTCACCCTAAACCAGGCCCACAGGCCCTGGTAAACCAACCGAAGCCAGAGTAAGAAAACCGCGCCTGCGTTTGTGTAAATGGAACTGCTAGGAGCAGAGCTCCGCCATGAACAATTCATGAGGTGCCCGCCAGGCGCCCTGCCCAGCGCCCAGGGCCCTTCAGAAGCACTGCGGGTCAGCCCTCCCCCTGCAGGTCCGGGGAACTTGGTGACAGCTCAGCAGCGGGCAGCCACCAGGATGGACAAGCAGAGGTGTCAATCAAGGCAGGGGTGGGGCCAGCCCAGGGTCCAGGGCTGCAGGCTCTGTTTCCAGCATCCTGGGCCAGAGGCCAGCCAGGAGGGTGCTGTGCTGCCCCGCGCACGCGGCCCGTGCCTCCATGCTGCCAGCGTCCATGCTGACAGGCATCCGGCCCTGTGCATGTGCTGGTCGCCATGGCTGTGGGCAGAATGTAGCAGGGGCCGGGCTGTACACCACTGCCCGGGCCTGAGGTGCAGGTGGAAGACTGGCCGGAGGCCACCAGTAAGAAGACCCTCCTGGGGCCAAGAGACCCGCCCTCCCGTATCCCAGGGAGGCTGCCATTTCCTAAGAGCCCTGGGGGAGAGGACGGGTCTGGGGGCTTCGGGCTCTGTGCTCGGCCTCCAGTGATCCCTTCGCCAAAGAGGAACAGGCTTCAGGGCTGTCTGCTGGGGGAGTTTGTCAGCCGATAGGGCCCTGCTTTCTGGCCCATTTGTGGCCAGGAAGACCCAGGCCTCCAGGCAAGCAGATAGCGGCGTGAGTCAGGCAGCCTTGCGGGCCGGCCCGGCGGCGCCCTTTGCCAGAGCAGGCCAGGCGATTCCGGCTCATGGAGTGGCAGCAGCCCTGAGTACTCCTGGAGGCCACAGCCGCAGACACTGCCCCGAGGGAAGGGTGCTGAGCGTCTGTGAGCAACGCGACCTGGCCACCCTCCGGGGCTGAGGTCTAGGAGAGTCTCCGAGGCCAGGCTGGCCCTGGGGCTGTCCACACACCCTCCAGGCCAGGCACACGTGCACGGCGCTGTGTCTTGCTGCAGAGCCTCTGCCTCTTGCACAGAAGCCAGCCTCCCTGTGCCAGCCGCCAGCGCTCGGTGAGCCCCTGTGGTGTGCTGGGAGCCTCGCCTCGCCGTGACTCCCAAGCCGAAGCGCTGCACCACCGAGCCAGATGCGCCCGAGCCTTGGGGACTTGGGAGGCAGGGGTCAAGCGACCTGTGCAAACCGCCTGCCCCTCCCCCCCGGGCCTAGGAACCCCACCCTTCAGCTCACATGCTTGGGTCTGTGCCAGTAGCCCCATCCGACTCAAAGCTGTGGAGCCTCAAAACTGAGGGGCCCAAAGGTAGAGTGCTTACCTAGCAAGCAAAAGGTCCTGAGTTCAATTCCCAGTATGGCCAATGAAGGGAAAAAAACTGGAAGGCCATTGCTGCTGCTGGGCTCTGCCACCCAGAGGCCCAGCGCCAGGTTCCCCCTGCCCAGCGCCTGGAGGCTGCCAGTGCCACTCAGCGCTGATGAGGCCTTCGTGCTGGTCAGAGACAAGGCGTCCAGGTTCCTGTGCAGCCCAGTTAGGGGACAGGGCCGAGGAGTGGCTAGTGTTGACACCCCGGCAGTGCGGGCACCTGCGGTGGGGGCACAGACCCACTGAGCCAGGCCTGGGAGCTGGGTTGGGGGGCCGAGGGTGGGCACCCCCAGTGAGGAGCCAGGCCTGGGAGCTGGGCTGGGGGCCGAGGGTGGGCACCCCCAGCGGGGAGCCAGGCCTGGGAGCTGGGCTGGGGCCCCAGGGTGGGCACGTCCCAGCGGGGAGCCAGGCCTGGGAGCTGGGTGAGGGCCGAGGGTGGGCACCCCCAGCGGGGAGCCAGGCCTGGGAGCGGGGTGGGGGGTCGCATGGAGGCAGGGGGTTCCTCCTGGGAAGGCGCTGTGCCCGGCCCGTGTCCTGGCTGCACACGGCCTCCTCGCTGTGTGGGTTGCGGAGGCCGAAGACAGCCTGTAGTGGGGCTGAGGAGAGGTTGGCGGGCACAGCACAGCCTGTTGCTGAACCCCAGCCTGAGCCCCTTCCTTGGAGTCTGGCACATCCCTCTGCACATGCTCCAAGGAGGTGCCCTGGGCTGGTCTCCTCTGCGGGGCCGGGGGCCGGGGCTGGCCTAGGGCGGCAGGGCCTGCCTAGAAGTGGGCCACGTGGACCCTCGTTCCTGGTTCCAGGAGCGCGAGGGCCGCACACTTTGATGGGGCAGTGGACGCGAGTCTGGCCTGGGCCCAGGATGGGCAGCTTGGGTTTCCCTCCTTGGCTCTCAGCCCCCAAGGCAGGTGCGGGCCACGGCAGGCAGGCACGCTGCAGGGCACGTGGAAGCCCCCACAGATGCCCTCCGTCTCAGAGCGGAGAGTGTGCAGCTGGGGGGCCCAGGCTGGGAGCCAAGGACGGCTACTCCCGGTGTCCCTGGGCCCCCGCGGTCCCATCCTGCTCCGAGTCCAGGGAGCAGACTTGGCCCTGCGTGGCCCCCAGGAGCCAAGTATGCAAAAACCCTAAAGTCGGGCAGCAGCGTAGGTCCCTCACGGACACCCAGAAAGTGTGCAGAAGGTCATCGGCGGCCGGACTCCCCGAGCTGCCTTCCAAGAAGGGCCAGGCCCAGGCCCAAGCTGAGCGGGGCCCACGGCGGCCCAGGGCCCTGGCCCTGCACCTGCAGCCTGGACTGGGGCACACTCAGCCGCGCTGGTGCACACGGCAGACTGCGCCCTGGCTCCGGGGCCTGGGGTCCTGGGCCCAGCCCTGCACCTGACTAGCACCCTCCACCCCCTTCCTGAGCTGAGGGGTGGGGTCCCAGCAGGGCAGGGTGGGGCCCCTGGGGCAGCCACAGGCCTCAGGGCCAGAGCCTAAGGTCAGAGGTGAGTGGGGGCTGCGGGCTGCTGGGGAGGGGCCACTGGGGACGGGGCGCTGGGGAGGGGGCCGCTGGCTCCTGGCAGCAGGAATCAGAGAAGCAGCAACCGGATCCCAGGGAGGGCCTGGTGCCGGGCGGAGGGCTGCGATCCGGTTACCACTCTGCTGTGAGTTTTCCATTGGGCGGCTTTTTCTACCCCAGGAAAGAGCCGGGCTGGTCTGATGGAGGCCTGGGGGTCTGAGGGCCCCTGAAGTGGGCAGGAGGAGGGGTCAGGAGGTGCGAGGGCCCGCGAGGGGGCCTAGGGCTCCAGCCAGGACCCAGGCTGCAGCAGGTGGAGGCCAGAGGTGGTCAGCCGCTCCGGCCACACAGGGCAGCGGGCTTCGGCCTCAGGGCTCTTCAGGAGCTGCTGAAATCCAAGCTGGGAGTCATGAAAGGCAGCCGCCGCCGCAGCCTCTCCTAAGCCGCAGCCCTGATCCACCCCCCTGCCCCCTCCGACGCCTGCTGACCATGTAAGACCCGCCCGGTGGCCATGGCTGCGGGGCGAGAGTAATGCAGGAGTGGGCGACGGGTCCATGACGCCAGCTGGGCCTCTGGGGGAGCCCAGGGGGGAGCTTCCTAGGCCCCACAGGGGACCTGGCCAGCCCCGACGATGCCGACCAACGGCTTGCACCAGGTGCTGAAGATCCAGTTTGGCCTCCTCAACGACACCGACCGCTACTTGACGGCAGAGAGCTTCGGCTTCAAGGTCAATGCTTCTGCGCCCAGCCTCAAGAGGAAGCAGATCTGGGTCCTGGAGCCCGACCCCGGGCAGGGCCCAGCTGTGCTCCTCCGAAGCAGCCATCTGGGCCGCTACCTGTCGGCCGGAGAGGACGGGCGAGTGACCTGTGAGGCGGAGCACCCGGGCCGTGACTGCCGCTTTCTGGTCCTGCCCCAGCCCGACGGGCGGTGGGCGTTACGGTCGGAGCCACACGGCCGCTTCTTCGGCGGCACCGAGGACCGGCTCTCCTGCTTCGCCACAGCCATCTCCCCGGCGGAGCTGTGGACGGTGCACCTGGCCATCCACCCCCAGGCGCACCTGCTGAGCGTGAGCCGGCGGCGCTACGTGCACCTGTGCCGGCAGGACGACGAGATGCTGGCGGACGGCGACATGCCGTGGGGTGTGGACGCGCTGCTCACGCTCATCTTCCGGAGCCGGCGCTACTGCCTCAAGTCCTGCGACAGCCGCTACCTGCGCAGCGACGGCTGCCTGGTCTGGGAGCCCGAGGCCCGCGCCTGCTACACGCTGGAGTTCAAGGCCGGCAAGCTGGCCTTCAAGGACTGTGAGGGCCGCTACCTGGCGCCCGTGGGGCCGGCGGGCACACTCAAGGCCGGCCGCAGCGCGCGGCCTGGGAAGGATGAGCTCTTCGACCTGGAGGAGAGCCCCCCGCAGGTGGTGCTGCTGGCCGCCAACCACCGCTACGTCTCCGTGCGGCAAGGTAGGGACGGCCGGCGCCGCTGACCTCCTGCACGTGTCCCAGGCCTGGCTGTGCGTGTGCCCCACAGGGACACGTGTGTCTGCACACGGGAGGTGGGCCTGGGAGGGCTGCTGGGGCCGGTGGCTTCTGAACTGAGACCAGGAACGCTGGCCTTTCTCAGGACAGCATGGAGGTGTCTCTGACCTGCTGAGACTGGAGATGTGGATGGAGATGGGTGGAGCCCCTAGCGGGGGGGGGGGGAGGGGGGGCGAGGCTCACACCCAGCCTGGCGCTGTTGGTCAGGAAGCAGCCGTGGGGCCTCCCCCCACACCCCGCTCTGCCATCACCCTGAATTCTGTCTGAAGAAGGCCAAGGAGGGGCTGGGGCAGAGCACGGGCGCAGTGGGAGTGGAGTGGAGCACCACCTTCACATGCCTAACCAGGGCAGCTCTGGACGGGGGCTTGCGTCCCGTGCAAGTGGCCCAGGCGAGGGCAGCGCTGTGCAGAGCTTGTCCCAGCCAACATCTGGGGAGCAGGGCCCAGCCCAAGCCAGCAGTCCTCAGTCTCCAACCTTGGGCTCCAGGATGGCCAGACACGTCCTGACCTACAAGCACAAGGGCAGGCACAGCAACACGCAGACCCCCTCCCTATCCCCCTCAGACCCTCAGGCCATCCAGGTGAGGGGCAGTTCCTGTGCACCCCTGGAACCCTGCTCAAACCTGCGGGTGCCAGCTTTCCTGGGACCTGTGTCTGTCCAGATGATCTCTATCAGGCAAGAGCACCAGCTGGGAGCTCAGCCAGGCTCCCGGGCCTGTGCCTGCCATTGGGCCTCTGGGTCAGACCATCACTGCGCTGGCTTGTCCTGGCACATGGCTAGGTGCTAGGGTGTGGGCTGAAGACAGCATGCTGGAGCACGGAGGGTGTGAGAAGTTCCAGAGCGGGAAAAGAAGCATTGAGTTCTATGTGCGAAATACTTAGAGGGATGGAGGTGAGGGAGGTGATGGAGGTGATGGAGGTGAAGAGGGTGGAGGTGAGGGTGGTGATGGAGGTGAGGGTGGTGATGGAGGTGATGGAGGTGAGGGTGGTGATGGAGGTGATGGTGCTGATGGAGGTGAGGGAGGTGATGGAGGTGATGGTGGTGATGGAGGTGAGGGTGCTGATGGAGGTGATGGAGGTGAAGAGGGTGGAGGTGATGGAGGTGAGGGTGGTGATGGAGGTGATGGTGGTGAGGGTGGTGATGGAGGTGATGGAGGCAATGAGGGTGGAGGTGAGGGTGGTGATGGAGGTGATGGAGGCAATGAGGGTGGAGGTGAGGGTGGTGATGGAGGTGATGGAGGTGATGGAGGTGAGGGTGGTGATGGAGGTGAGGGTGGTGAGGGTGGTGATGGAGGTGATGGAGGTGAGGGTGGTGATGGAGGTGAGGGTGGAGGTGAGGGTGGTGATGGAGGTGAGGGTGCTGATGGAGGTGATGGAGGCGATGAGGGGGGAGGTGAGGGTGCTGATGGAGATAGGTTCTGGTTCTGCTGTGGAGCTTGTCTGGGCATGTGGAAATCCGTGTTCAGTCTCTAGCACTGGGCCTGTGAGGGAGGAAGGTGGGAGGCTGGTGCTGGTGGAGGGAGGGGGTGGCTTGTGTTTATCTCCTCACCCACATTGCATCTGACCTGGTCCTTGGATGAGGATCCCCTGGGCAGGCTTCCCCAGTGGGGTTCCAGCCGGGGATCCCTCCCCACCCACAGTCATTTCTGGCTGACTTGGCAGAAGTGTGCTGTGGCTCTTCAGTCTGTGGGGTGTGTGTGGCAGAGGTGCAGTGTGCAGGGGGCAGGGTTAGCTGGGGGGGCAGAGGGGGCAGGGTGGAGGTGGGGGCAGTTGCCCTGATTCACAGCAGCGGGTACTAGGGTCTGCTGTGTGTCTTAGTGCAGTGGGGCCTCAGTGTGTGTCACTTTCGGGCCAGGCTGCCCCATGCTGTCCCCCCGAGGGCCCGGTGGCATCTTGTTAGCTGCCTCTCCCGATGGCTGGTCTGCCCGTGTCTGCCAGCCTGGCAGCTCATCCGTTACTATCAAGCAGAAAGCATCACGCCCACACTCAGCAGTGAGTCTGATTACTGCGCATCGGCATCTGGGGGCCTTGCGTGTGGCCCCCCGGTGGCACCGCCTGCTCTGCAGCCACAGGGCACCCCTCTTCCCCTGGGTCACCTCAACTGTCATCAACACCAAACCCTGCAGTTCCAGACACAAGCCGGGGAAAAGGGCCAGGAGTCCCGACTGTGTCTTCCTAAGAAAATGCACATCCCACCGACCAGAGCGGAGCGCTCCCTTCCACGCAAGGGAGAGGGTAAAGCCAGCAGTCTCCACCGAAGCCCTGGCACTGTCAGGCCCGTACTTAGAAGCGGGTGCCCGGAAGATGCCTGGAGACGTGTGGGCGATGTGTGCCTGCCCCTCACCGGTGGCCTGGGAGCCAGGTGGAGGTGCGGCGGGCCAGGCCCTGTGACCTGGCTGTGCCTGGCCCCGCGGGAAGGCTCTTGGCTCACCAAACCCGCAGGCATCCCTGGTGAGGGCCAGCCTGCCTGGCCTCCCTGCTGCCCATCTGGGCCCCAGCCCGTGCTGTGCCAGCGTGGGGATGGAGAGCTGCCCACCCATGCTCAGGACACCTGAGCAGGTGAAGGGTCATTTCCTGATGACCTCTGTGGAGAGGGTTGGGCTAACTGCCACCTCAGGTGATGTAGCACTGCTCCCCCACTGCCCCAGGTCCCTGTAGCTGAACACACCCAGAGTCCCTGAGGGCTCTAACCTCTCACCACAAGGTAGCCAGTTGTCATGGAAATGGAGGTGGCTTGTGGGAGGAGCCAGAATTCATTTTCAGGAAGATCCTGAGGAAGTGTGCATAGTTGCTGCTTTTCACAGCCCAGAACCTGGGTGTCCCCTCTGTCTCCAAGCCCGGAACCTCAGCCAGAGTCCTGGACGGCTGTGTGCTCCCCTAGGGACCCCAGGAGGCAAGGGTTCGTGTGGGCAGGGCTCCCTGGTCCCTGTACCGTGGCTGTGACCTGGGCTGTACAGGGGAGAATGGAACTCCTCCACCCCTGCCCACCTGGCAGTCTGGGGTGAATCAGAGTCCGGAAGGCACCGCTGAGGAGCGAGCTGGTGCAGGTGCGGGAGGGTCTGGCTGTGGGGAGTGATGTCAGGAGTCCCCAAGGCTGCTGTGGGTGTGGCAGTGCCGTTTTCATCCCCTCTGAAAGCCGTCCTCCAACCTCCAAGCACAGAGCTTTAGACCAGGCTCCTCTGGGCTTCAGAGACACCCCAAATACAGCCCCCAGAAGAGGCATGAGACTTTCCTATCTTCCCCCTCCAGGGGTCAATGTCTCAGCCAATCAGGATGAAGAACTGGACCATGAGACCTTTCTGATGCAGATTGACCAGCAGACAAAGAAATGTACCTTCTATTCCAGCATTGGGGGCTACTGGGCCCTGGTCACCCACGGGGGAATTCAGGCCACAGCCACACAAGTGTGAGTGCCTGCCCTGCCCACCCCACCCTCACTACCTCCACCATCACCATCAGTACCTCTGCCACAGCAACCACTGTTGCAGGCTACTGGGACCGTGCATTGGGCCTGTCATCCTAGATACTCAGGAGGCTGAGATCTGAGGATCACAGTTCCAAACCAACCTGGGTTTATTATCTCTAATAAATCGCTCAGAAAGCCAGAAGTGGCACTGTGGCTCAAGTGGTAGAGCACTAGCCTTGAGCTGGAGAGCTGAGGGACAGCACCGAGTTCAAGGAATGGGCACTGGGGAGGGGTGGCTCTGTGCTCCTGCCCGGGACAGATGTGAGGTTGGGCGGCAGCCCCCGCGGCCCTGAGTCCCTCCGGCTCCGCAGCTCTGCCAGCACCATGTTTGAGATGGAATGGCGTGGCCGCCGCGTGGCTCTCAAGGCCAGCAACGGGCGCTACGTGTGCATGAAGAAGAACGGGCAGCTGGCGGCTGTCAGCGACTTTGTGGGTGAGCTCCGAGCGGGGGACAGGGCCGCGGGGTGGGCGAGCCTGGAGCCAGGGACAGGGCCACGGGGGTGGGCGAGCTCCGGGCCGGGAACAGGGCCGCGGGGGTGGGCAAGCCCCGAGCCGGGGACAGCGCCTGGGGGTGGGCGAGCCCCGAGCGGGACAGGGCCGCAGGGTGGGCGAGCCCCGAGCCGGGGACAGGGCCGCGGGGTGGGCGAGCCCCGAGCCGGGGACAGGGCCGCGGGGGTGGGCGAGCCCCGAGCCGGGGACAGGGCCGCGGGGTGGGCGAGCCCCGAGCCGGGGACAGGGCCGCGGGGTGGGCGAGCCCCGAGCCGGGGACAGGGCCGCGGGGGTGGGCGAGCCCCGAGCCGGGGACAGGGCCGCGGGGTGGGCGAGCCCCGAGCCGGGGACAGGGCCGCGGGGGTGGGCGAGCTCCTCGCCCCTCGCCGGCGCCCGTCTCACGCCACCTCCCGCAGGCGCAGACGAGGAGTTCGTCCTCAAGCTCATCAACCGGCCGCTCCTGGTGCTCCGCGGCCCCGACGGCTTCGTCTGCCACCGCCGCGGCTCCAGCCAGCTGGACACCAACCGCTCCGTCTACGACGTCTTCCGCCTGGGCTTCCGCGACGGCGCCTACCAGATCCGAGGTGGGCCGGCGCGCTCCCGCGGGGCCGGCAGCTTGGCGAGGGGGCTCCCGCGGTTTGGGGATGGGGGTCTGGCGACTTGGCGAGGGGGCTCCCGCGGGGCCGGCGGCTTGGGGAGGAGGGGGGCCGGCGGCTTGGGGAGGGGGCTCCCGCGGTTTGGGGATGGGGGTCTGGCGGCTTGGCGAGGGGGCTCCCGCGGTTTGGGGGATGGGGGTCTGGCGGCTTGGCGAGGGGGCTCCCGCGGTTTGGGGATGGGGGTCTGGCGGTTTGGGGAGGGGGCTCCCGCGGGGCCGGCGGCTTGGGGAGGAGGGGGGCCGGCGGCTTGGGGAGGAGGGGGGCCGGCGGCTTGGGGAGGAGGGGGGCCGGCGGCTTGGGGAGGAGGGGGGCCGGCGGCTTGGGGAGGGGGCTCCCGCGGTTTGGGGATGGGGGTCTGGCGGCTTGGGGAAGGGGCTCCCGCGGTTTGGGGATGGGGGTCTGGCGGCTTGGGGAGGGGGGTTTCCCGGGGCCGGGGTGCGTTCGGCGGGGCCGCAGCCCCCTCCTCCGCCCCTCCCTCCTCCGCCCCTCCCTCCAGGCCGCGGAGGGTTCTGGAACACCGGCAGCCACGGCTGCGTGCGCAGCGACGGCGAGCGGGCCGAGGACTTCCTGTTCGAGTTCCGCGAACGCGGGCGCCTGGCCATCCGCGCGGGCAGCGGCCGGTACCTGAGCGGGGGCGCGGCGGGGCTGCTGCGCGCCGACGCCGAGGCGCCCGCGGGCGCCGCGCTCTGGGAGTTCTGAGCCCCGCGGGCCGGGAGGGGGGGGACCGAGGGACCGCCCGCACCCCCACCCCACCCCGTGGAGACTAAAGCAAAGCGCGCCCTCCCCAGCTGCGTCTCTGGCCTCTGTTCCGCGCGGTGGGGTGTGGCGCGAGGGCCACCGGGGCTGTCCCCCCAGTGCAGAAAACAGGCCTGTGCTGGGCAGCTCTCCATGGCCGCAGCCCCAGGCTCAGGGGGAGGCGGGCAGGGCAGGGGCCTCCGGGGGGCGCTGGGCGAGCCAGGGCACCAGGCTGGAACAGCAATGGCGTTTACTCCACTGATGAGCACTAAACACCACCCTGACCCCTCAAGTCAGCCACACCCCAGCTGAGCGCATCTAGCTGGAGGTCTCGTTCCTGTCTGGGTCTGGCGGTCTGGCAGTAAACCAAGGCCTCGGCACAGCTCTGGCTCTCCCAGCCTGCTGTACCCTGGGGCTGGAAGGTCTGCAGTGCCCATGTCCCAGGGCTGGGCCCCTGCAGCCGATGATGTCCAGCTGATGATGACAACAGGAGGTGTCAAATACAGCAGGCAGAAGCCAGCACAGCCTGGGCCAAGGTGGGTGGGTGCAGACCCTGCAGGTCCTCCATCTGGACCAGTGGTCCTCACCGCCAGGCGGTCCATGAGCACTGGCCAGTGGCCGGACTCAAAGCTCCCACTTGGGATGTCAGAATAACCCAGAGGCCAGGCATACATGGGACCCTGCACAGCCAGCAGTGGCTGGGGGGGGGGAGGGAGGGAGGGAGGAGGGCCTCCCTCCTCAGTTCTCCAGTCCCTCCTGCCTTAGGACCAAGGAGAAGCTGGAAGAGCCCAAGGGTAGAGAAGGGTAACAACAAAAACCACAACAGCCAAGGTTGGAGCTCTGTAGAAAGGGTCACCTGTCAGCAAAGCACCTCACAGCGCCTGCACACACGCAGATGCGCTTGCACAGAGGTGGCCCGAAGCCCCCCAAGTCCAGGCCCATGCCCATCCCGTAATAAAAACAGCACCAGCAGCCGGGCAGTGCACGGCTGAGCGAGGGGGCAGGGGTGTGGGGCTGCCGTGGGCTGTGCCCCCCACCCTGATCCTAAAAGCAGCACAGTGCTGGGCACAGCCCTGGCCTTGGCACGTGGTGCCCACAGGGGCTGGCACCCGGTCCTTGTGCTTTGGTCGCGGGGGCACCCTCCCCCGGGGGGCCCCAGAGGGGCAGCAGGGCTCTGGGAGTGTGGTGGGAACTGTGGGAGCAACACGGCTGCGGCCTGCCCAAGTCGGTGCCACGTGGCTGACTGGTCTGAGCTGAGGTGGTGCACACAGTGCGAGCTGCGGAGCGGCCCTGCAGAACAAGCCCAGCTCAGGCGGGACGCGTGCACCTGGTGCGCAGCTGCCGGCAGCAAGGGCGGGAGCCAGGGGCAGACGCAGCCTCTCATCTCATCACCCCGCCCCGCCCCGCCCCCCCCCCCCCCAGCACTTCCTGGCCCGCCTGGCGTATGTTCACATTCAAGTGTTTTCGGCGGTCAGCAGGCAGGGAGCGCGGGCAGAGGCACAGGCCGCTGGCTCACAGCAGGACCAGGCTGGGGTTGCGCAGCTGCTTGTAGACCTGCAGAAGCCTCTGGGCCGTGGCGCAGGAGCTGGCTTCATCCTCCGTGCACAGCCGGTCTCGCAGGGCCTGCACCTCCCGCAGCAGGGCCTGTGGGTGGCAGCGTGTTCGGGACCCGCACCCCCCGACATCTGCAGACTCGGGCCAAGGGGTGGGCTGAGCCCGGGAAGCACACGGGTATGTGGCTGTCCACACGCAGGGACCCACGGGGGCGTGGTGAGGGCACAGATGGAGCATCAGAGGTGGGAAACGGGACCGGCCCGCTCTTCCCGGCCCACTCCCTGAGCCAGCTTCCCAGGCCAGGCCCCGGCACACCGTGCCCACGGGGGAAGCCCTGGGGCTCACCTCGTGGTTGGTGTGGATCTGGCGAAGGTACTGCAAGCGCAGGTCAGGCGCGCTGGCCCCCTGGGCAGCTTGCTCGGTGACCATTGCCTGGAGACAGAGGAATGGGTCTGATGCTGGAGTGTTCCTCACCACCTGACCCGAGGGGGGGCCCACGTCTAGGGGGTTCATGTACCCCTAAACTCTCCTTGGTTTCCCAGCTTGGTTGCCTTGACGCCCTCTCTCCTTGTGGCTTTACCGTTTGACTGCTGTCTCTGGGACCTTCCTCCCGAGAAAAGCACCGGAGCGCCGCCACCCGACACTCAGTTACAGGATCTAATTGGTTCTGTCCCTCCATTCATCCCCAAAGAACCTTTCTGGGCTCAGATCTCAACCTCTTCTCTGCCAGTCTGTCCATGGCTCGGTCCGCCGTGTGGGGTGTGGGGTGGGGCGGCTCTTGCTGACCCCCAACGCAGGCCCCACACGAGGAGGGGCCCACACAACCCACTGGACACCCACTAGTGTCTGCTTCCCAAAGACCGCGCACCTTGCAAAACGCAGCCAGCCTTTAGGGGCAGCCAGGGCCCTGGGGGTGGAGCTGCCACCTGAGGGCAAGGGAGCCCCAGGAAGAGCTGTAGTCGGCAGAGGCTGCACAGCTGGGCATCACTGGACAATGAGCTGTGATGGGCGCAGGTTTGGGGAGAACATGCCTGCCGGCTCCAGGGACAGGCCCTGCTGACCCCACACGGAGCCGCCACCGCAGCCCACACTGTGTTCCTAGGGTCACAGGTGGAAGGCTAACCCAGCATCCCAAACGCGACACACTTGGGTTGGAACTTGTATAGATGATCCAGACCAGGCCACCGGGGCTTAGGGGAGACGTGTGGTCAAAAGTGGCCCCGTGGGCAGAGCCTCTAGGCAGCACTGTCAGAGGCAGCTACCGGCTCAGCGTGGGCACCCAGCTCCAGCCCCGCTGCACTGCGGCCCTGCCACATGGCTACGTGCGGGAAACAATAATCACAGTGAATCAGTGCTGGGACATCCCCAGGCTCAACCTTAGACCTCTGAGGGCAGCTGGCCTCTGGCCAGGCTCACAGTGCATCTCACCGTGGTCCCAAAAGCCGCTGGCTGGCAGATCCTGATGTTCAGGGTGACAATATGGAGGGCCACAGTCAAGAGCCAGCTTGAGACGTCACCGGCCGCTCGCTGAGGGCCTGGCTGCAGGGGCCAGGGCCCTGCGGGTAGTCCCAGGTAGAATAACACCCCGGTTGGGGACTTGGTGGCTGCTGCTAGGAGGACCCAGCAGGAAATGGAAACCACTCATTTCTGCGCGCAGACCCCTGGTCCTGGGGCTGTGCTGGAGCCTCAGCCTCTCTGTGCAGCAGGCCTGGCGCCCAGGCTGCTGGTCACGGAGCACACAGCTGCACGGGCTGAGGCAGGGCCGCGGGAGCCGCCCCCAGCCCTCCGGAGCCTCCCTCCCATCCAGCGCCTGGGGCTCGGTACCTGCATGCGCCCCACAATGGCATGGTGCGCTCTGCACATGTCGGCCAGCGAGGGGCTCTCCACCTGGATGTCCACGGCCTGGATGGGCCCCGCGGGGCTCAGGTCCGTCACAGCCACCTGCAACACATGCAGGGGCCGCTCACCACCCTGGAGGTGGCCGCAAGGAAGCGGAGCCGCGGCTCGCCTGCACGCCTAGCTACTGGGGAGACGGGACCACAAACCCAAAAGCTTATCTCTAATGAACCAGCAGAGCCGGAAGTGGACGTTTGGCTCGAGTGCTGGGGTCTGGGGCTGGGCGTCCCGCCTTTGCTCAGCACGTGGCACGTGCTCGGGACTGCGCGCAGCCCTGCAGTCAGCCTCCACCCACAGCTCGTGCACAGCAGTCTGCGGCAGGCCTTAGACCGAGCAGTGCCAGGGCAGGTTGAGGCTGCTTCCCGACTTCTGTCGGACTGGCCTTGGCGCCCTCAGCTTTACAGCAGTCCTTCCGCCACACCCTTCCGCCCCACAGCCATCTCTTTTCTTTGTGCCAGTTCTGGGTCTGGAACTCAGGACTGGGTGCTGTCCCTGAGCGTCTTTTGCTCAACATTCATGCTCTACCATGTGAGCCACAGCTCCACTTCTGGCTTTCTTTTGGTAGTTTATTGGAGATGAGTCTCATGGACGTTACTGCCTGGGCTGGTTTTGAACTGCAATCCTCACATCTCAGCCTCTGGAGAAGCTGGGATTACAGGTGTGAGTCACTGGTACCTGGCTGTCCTTTTCGCTGATTCACATTAGTCTATCCTGAGATCCCAGCCCGAATGGCTGGAGTTTTTAGGTGTTTCCTCTGGCACAAGGCACAGAGGAGGGTCTTCAGCTTCCCAAGCGGGCCTGCTGCTCCCGAGGGGAGCAGATGGTGGGGCCAGGAATCCAGCTCTTATACGCACTGGTCTAGGGCCCCAGAGAAGCGTGGGGACTGAGGCCTGTCTCCCCAGGGCAGGCGAACAGACCCCTTCTTGCCTCAGAGATGACGAGGTGGATGTCGGTCCCATCTGGAGCCACTCCCTGGATGGAGGACAGTGCGCGGGCCCTGATGGCGTCCACGGCAGGGTTCTCAGCCAGGAGCCACTGCAGGGTGGCGCTGCACAGGGGGACGCCTGGACAAAGGGCCGGCCAGGCGCGTGAGCCGGGCTGCTGCAAGGCACACGGTGGCCTCTCCCAAACGCCCCGCCAGGCAGCATCCCCGCTGCCCACAGCCCAACCCAGGCAGGATGCCGGGCCCCCTGAGGGGATGGTGGGGAGGGGCGTGAGGAGACAGATGCCTAGAGGTGAGACCACCCAGCCCTGAGCCAGGCTCTTCTAGCAGGGCGGCCAAGAAGGGCAGGCAGCTGTCTGGGCACAGCCAGAACACGCTGGGGACAGCTGTGGCTGCGTCCAGGTGCAAGATGCAGCCCAGAAACCACCCAACACCTGCTGGGTGCCGGGAAGCAACGCCCACAGCTGGGACCCTATTTTGCCACAGAATTCAACAGCACACAACACGGAGGGCTCTACACGACGCCGTGGGAGCAGAGCCAAACACAGAGAGCAGACACGGAGCTCAGCAG